GCTGAGCTGACCCCATCCATTCCCTTTACTGCAAGGCTCACAGGGACAGCTGACACTTGGGACTTTTCTCACTCCCTGTGTGTGGCACAACTGAGGATTGAGCCCTCTGAGGATTGAAATGTTTTAGCCTAATAAAGACTTGGGGAGCCTCACACTGGGGAGCCTGAATAAGTTCCAGTTTAGAGGAAAATCACACTTCTGCACTTTGGAGCCAGAGACACACTACTTACCTCATGTGGTAACGGCAGCCAGACCCAGGCTGTGCTGAACACAAGTAACACACTCACTGAAGCAACGTGGTGCAGGTGCCTAATGGTATATCAAGGAAACTCCACCACTGAAGCCTACACATGAGTTTCATCTCTGCCTCTTCTTTATTTAAAAGAATTTTAAGCTACTTGAAGCAAGGATTTCTCTTGCTGCATGTTATTACTGAAATGTGTCCCCCATCTCAGTAAAAGCTCAGTTTACTGCAATACAAATAGCAAAAGAACACATTTAAACATTGGTTGTACCACTGAGGTGGTATACTCAGGAAATACTCAGGCCCAACCTCACCTGTTTCCTTTCATTATGAAGAACTTTCGAGTCTAAAATTCCTATTTGGGAAAATACTGTGGGAACCAAGAGAATTTCTCTCTTTTCTTTGCAGTGTTCGTGCAGTGCAATGTTCTCAATGTGTGGGGATGAAGAGAGAAGCAGTGAAGGGGGAAGGAGAGAAGAGCAGAAACCACAGGTACTTGTGTCTACGCGCATATTCATGAATATCCGTGCAGAGTCAGGGACACCTTTGTACTTTTACAGTTTCAAAGCAACCTACAGTTTCTTTACAGCCTATTCTGTAGATGTGTAGTTGTTGAAATCTCTACTACAAATAAAAACGGAGAACAAAATCCACACAGCTGAGCCTTCTTTTTTAATTATTATTATTCTTATTTGACACTCACATTACAAAATTTAGAAACCATAGACAGTTCAGGCAAACTGTTAAAACACAGTATAAATTAGGGGGGGGGTTAATATATAAATTCTATACATAGGTAAGTTAGCTTGAACATGACTGACAAAAGGATTTCATAACAATCTTACCACAACTGTATCAAAAGGCATGGAATAGGATGGGCACTATAATCATGAATGCAGGTTAAGACATTTTCCACAACAGCTATAAAGCGTAACAATGACCATGCTATTCTCGCAGTGTGTCTGTGGGGTACAGGGTGCATATTACCATTAACATGTCGCAAGGGCTATGTACAGTCACAAAATCAGAACTCAAGTAACTTTACTGTTTCCTGCCTGTGCAATTAATAAAGTGTCGGTGTTTGTTCTGAGGACTTCTAACAAAGCTACATGGGTGGAGTATTACGGATGGTAGAAGGGTTTTAATTTAACCTGAAAATGCTAATTAGAATATGAATTTGCTTAATTTAAAGAAAAAAAACAACAGGAAAAGCACAGCGCCTCATTACTATCGCTTACATGATCGGTATATACCAGTCTTTTAATCCATATTTATTTTCTAGCTTGATTCTTTTTAAAAAATAAAATAATAATAGTTCCCATTTTTCTAAGCACAGTTGTAAAAAGAAGTTATACCAGAAGAAATGTAAAACAATAATTTTGATATCTTTATCGGGTAATTTTTTGAAAGGATGTGCTTCCCAGGAGACCCTGGGCATGTTACTCAACCTTTACATTTCTCAATCTAAAAATGAGGACAGTTCTGCTTACCCATTTTTACTCTGTGGTTTTAGGTCTGTGACTAAATGTTTTAGAATGGCATCATTCTTTAAAATGCTATGTTGGAGTTTAAGTTTAAGACAGCTGGTGCTGTCACTGTCACTAAAAGTGAAAAATATCTTAAAATCTGATTTCTCACCTTTATAAGCTGATGAACACTCGCTAAGAGTTCTGAAACCCAGAGGATAATTTATTTCCCATCTGTGCTGTGCACTAGCAATAATCTTTTTGGAGACAGACTCCTAAGAGAAGTACTTGCACATTTGTAAGAATCGTATCTTGAAACACGAGAATTTAATAGCTCTGTGCGTGCATCTTTCACTACATTTTAACAATTAGGAGGATTCTATTGGACCAATTCCTTCTAAATCAAGGCAAGGACAGACTGTAAGTGATAACCCAACTTGGGCTGTTATGGAAATACAAATGATGTCAACTGTCCAGACTACAGCCTGTGTTCTCTCAACTCTGTTTCTCCACGGGCCAAACATCAAGAAACCGTCATTTGTTTGTTTCAAAAATACTGGAATTTTAGAAGCATAATTAAATAATGAAAGCAGTGACGTAGTACTGACCAGTAACAGTTCATTGAGGAAGTCACATTTCTCTGAACAGTAGCCGGACTATGGAATTTTCTGGTCAGAAGTCCATTAAAAGGGCTTTGCACATTTCAGATGGAAGTTTCCTGTACAGATATTTCACTTGTAGGACTCACGAGCTCTGAACTCTAAGTCACCTGCATTCAAGGTGGCCTGGGAACACTGCTGTCCTGCAGTATTAGCCTAGGTTGGCAGTTTTAGAGCCACAGGGCTGAAGGGAGAAGGACTCCTATTCTATTATGACAGCTCTGGAGTATGATTATAGAGCCCTTGTATGGCAGAGAACTAGAAAAATGTTCCTATGGCATTTTACAAGAGCTGTTTATGGAGCAGAATACTGCTTCTGTGGAGGGAAAGGCATCAAGGGAAGAGTGAGCCGCCTCAGCCACTCTGAATTTAGAGCATTACAGTCTGCACCTGGCCACAGGGCAAGGCAGGGGATCTACACAGGAGTTACTCACACTTAGCTTTTTTCTGTAGCTGAGCTTATAGCCTGAGTTTCAGTCTTGCACCTGTGCAGAGTGTATGAAATACCACCCATACGAGCTATTAGCTTATCTACGTCTTGCACAATGCAAAAAAATGCAGGATGTGATGCCTTGTATGAGCATTAGCTTAATGTAGTAGTGTTTTTTTGCAAATCTGAAAATATGCAAAAAGAATTATAAAAGAAATTAATACAAAACAGATTAGCTTCCAGATCTGTTCCACCAAAAAAAAAAGGTAATTCATTTGCTGCCTCCTCTGCTCAGCTCTGAGCTCAGCTGCCCCACACAACAGCTACCAGTGCCTTAGAGCTACACACACTCTAAGGCTGTGTTCTTTCTTTCCAACATACCCAACATGAAAACAGAAGTATTAGTACAGCTTCCTGCATCTGTATTTCACTGTATTCTCTGCTGCCTCAGCCTGCCCGGCTGCCACTGATGCTAAGAGGAAGATATGCTCAGATATCTTATTCCACTCTGCTACCATGCTGTGAAATCTGGAAGTTAACAACCATCAAGGTATTTCTCATAATTTTAAAAAATATATATTTTTCCACGTTGCTCAGATCTTAAAATCCCCGTCACTAAGTAACAAATTTTTCACTGTTTCAAGTCCTCTAGAGGAACCTCTTTTAATTCAAAGAATTTTCTTGTAATCATTTTGTTGGACAGATTAGGAAGTAGGCTTTGCCCCAGGTGAACTTCCAAGAACTTCTTACCTTTCCAAAGGGATGTGTCCCAGCAGCAGAAACCTAAGAGTGCAGGCTCAGATATGAATTTGCATGTCAGCTTTGTACAGGATCATCTAATCCCCTTTGCATCCCCCTCTTAGTGTATGTGCTGCCATATGGACACCCCATACGTGTGTGCTGTTCCCCAGCCACAGTTCAATAATGCCCTGCACCAACTACTGAGGTAATTTCACTCAACACATAAACAGACAAAAGAAAAGAAAGTCTTTGGCCCACAGTTGAGCCTCTGAGCAATGACAAAGGGGCTTTTCCCTGTTTCTTTGTCACTCCCTGATCCCATTCTGCAATTACAACAATGGAGTAATCAGTTCACAATAAAAGGGGGTTTAATTTCCAATGAAAGAGGCACCTGAGACAGTAAGGCTAATTTCTACCAGTCTAAAAGGAAAAAAAAAAGGTTCTTAAACCCAGAAAGTCAAATTTTGCTCTCAGACATGAGTTAATTCATTGGATCTGATTTAGTCCTTGAATTTGCTGCTGAAACTTCAACTATGTCGAAGAAAACTTTTTCTAAGGCTGGATTTTCACGCTATTAAGTGCCCATCTGAGAGTTGCACCTGGCTCAAAAGAAAGGCCAGGGACTATAATAGTTGTCAATGCAATTTAATCCCTATGAATAACTTAAAACTGTACTATAGTTACTGATTGCAAGACTGCTCCAAAGCCCATCAAGATCAATTGGAGTTTTTCCTCTGGCACGCGTGGGATCAGTCTCATTCTCTGGAACACAGTCATTATTAGGCCAGATACTGTTAACTCTCTAACATTTTTACACTGATATGCATAACAATATCTTTTCTACAAACATGTCTTCTTTTTGATCACTCCAATTCCATATTCAGTAATCTGAGCTCTGTCCTAAACTGGATTCACAGTCGTGTGCCAACCAGTGCTCATGTGCTTTAATAAAAGGTGCATAAACTATTGCAATAAAACATGGTGAAGTAACCAAGGTATCAGTAGGGGACTGGCCTGACTTGAAGTGAGTGATTATCTTATCACCACTGACCACACTGTAAAATATTTTCGAGCTGAGAAAACTATCTCTACGCTTAAATTGTTTGTTATTTGAAGTGCTTTAGCAGCTGTGTCCATACTTTGTTAAAGGGCCATCCTGGCAGTAGCTGGGATCACAGTCTGCTTCCAGATCCACGTGTCCTCTAACCACATGGGGAGCTCCCGGCCAGCTGTAGGACAGGATGGTGTTCATGGCCTGACAGAGGGGACAGCGACACGCCAGACTCAGTGCACTCTCCTGCACAGGGCTCTTGTGTGCCAGACTCAGTTAAAGAGTTTTTTGCCTGCAAAAATCAGTCCCGCCCAGCAGACCTACCTCCATCCACCTTTAATTAGGTAACGTGATTGATGCTGATGTGAAATTGAGGGCAAGATTGTACGATTAAGTGTCTTAAAAAAAAAGGTTCTTAAACCCAGAAAGTCAAATTTTGCTCTCAGACATGAGTTAATTCATTGGATCTGATTTAGTCCTTGAATTTGCTGCTGAAACTTCAACTATGTCGAAGAAAACTTTTTCTAAGGCTGGATTTTCACGCTATTAAGTGCCCATCTGAGAGTTGCACCTGGCTCAAAAGAAAGGCCAGGGACTATAATAGTTGTCAATGCAATTTAATCCCTATGAATAACTTAAAACTGTACTATAGTTACTGATTGCAAGACTGCTCCAAAGCCCATCAAGATCAATTGGAGTTTTTCCTCTGGCACGCGTGGGATCAGTCTCATTCTCTGGAACACAGTCATTATTAGGCCAGATACTGTTAACTCTCTAACATTTTTACACTGATATGCATAACAATATCTTTTCTACAAACATGTCTTCTTTTTGATCACTCCAATTCCATATTCAGTAATCTGAGCTCTGTCCTAAACTGGATTCACAGTCGTGTGCCAACCAGTGCTCATGTGCTTTAATAAAAGGTGCATAAACTATTGCAATAAAACATGGTGAAGTAACCAAGGTATCAGTAGGGGACTGGCCTGACTTGAAGTGAGTGATTATCTTATCACCACTGACCACACTGTAAAATATTTTCGAGCTGAGAAAACTATCTCTACGCTTAAATTGTTTGTTATTTGAAGTGCTTTAGCAGCTGTGTCCATACTTTGTTAAAGGGCCATCTCGGCAGTGGCTGGGATCACAGTCTGCTTCCAGATCCGCGTGTCCTCTACCCATGTGGGGAGCTCCTGACCAGCTGTAGGGCAGGATGGTGTTCATGGCCTGACAGAGGGGACAGCGACACGCCAGACTCAGTGCACTCTCCTGCACAGGGCTCTTGTGTGCCAGACTCAGTTAAAGAGTTTTTTGCCTGCAAAAATCAGTCCCGCCCAGCAGACCTACCTCCATCCACCTTTAATTAGGTAACGTGATTGATGCTGATGTGAAATTGAGGGCAAGATTGTACGATTAAGTGTCTTTTGAAAGGCATTGAGCAAGTTAATCTACTGACTTCAACACAATTCCTTCATTGTTTTTCACTGGGCTTTTTTATCTACCATTGCAGAATGGCACACTCAAGAGAGGAAAAAATAGAGCCTTTACTACCACTCTGATTACACTAGAGGAGGTGCAGAAGTGATTTAATGTATTTGGGTCTTTTAAAATTTTGCCATATACGCAGGAGCTAAGTTAATGTTTTGGAAAGACTCTGTATCATATATTCACACCTTACTAGCTCAGGGTTTTGATACTAACACTACAGACCTATAGGTCTAGTTTTGCTGTGTTCTCTGTGGAGCATGAGCCCAAGCAGCTGTTGGGGAGGCAAATCCCCTGGAAAAGGTGGAATTAGTAAACCATGAGATTACAACCAGTAACTTGTCTAGGTATTAGTCTCACAACTACATGCCTTACAGTGGCTTAGGGGTTGGTGTTAAGTAATACTGCTTTCTTTTCAGCATGGTAGGAATTCTCCTCTGTTTATAGCAAGAAAACATTAATTATTGGAGGTGCTTTTTCTTGTTTTCATGTAATTAATGCATTTTTGGAAGAAATCTATTCCCCAAACTGTCATCCTTTGTTTTCAGTTGTACTCGCTCTTTGTAAAACCTGTTGGTGAAGCCAGGCTGTAACCACTCTCCTCTCTGGAGCTGCACACCCCAGTTACACCAAATATGAATTACAAATGCAACTGACAGCTGTAACTTAAGGCTTTACATTGTTTCTATTTAAATCAATAGGATTTTAGCTATGAAATTATATGAAGACAAGCTATGATTCCTAAAGTCTGTTTTTCAAAAGCGCTGTCTTCTCATTTTAAGTTGTTCTGCACTCTGATCTCCAAGTCGTTTTGCAAATTGCAGCCAGCTTCTCTGGAGATCAAATACTAGGGATCAATATGCCACACACCTCTATAAAGCAATAATTGCCTCAGTATTCAGCAAGAAATGAGGATAGTTAGCACCTCTGAAAAAAAGACCTTTTAAATGTGTGACTACATAAAGGCTTAAAGATAATTTAGTGCTTCTGACAGTCCCACTAAGCCCTTAATACCTACCTAAATCTGACCTTTATGCTTCCAATTTTAAGCACTGAGGTTTGAAAGTTTTGGACTATGAAAGTGGTTTAGTTTGCAACACTGATAAACTTTATGAGATCTAATTTAACTCATACTTATAAAATTGCCTGAATTCATAGAAGGTGCCCAAGAATATAAAGTAGTATCAGGAGAAATCACATTTTGATTCCTCTTCGGTGTGTTATAATCTCAGCTCTACCAGCCTCTATTGCCTTATTAGAAAAAGAGAGAGGATTTCCATTTTTAAAAAGTAGGTTTTAAGGAAAGGTCCGTCCACCTACATTGGCTTTCAGATAAATAAAAAACCATTTCCACCATGAAGTCACACTGTGTCTGTTAAAAGATGCAGACATTAAGAAAAAAAATGACCATTTAGCAAACCCACTTAAGCATTAGCATTGCGGTAGATGTGTTTATGGTTATTGCTCTGGATTTGGTTGGAATTTAACAGGCTTTTAATGGCATCATTTTGGAAATGGTTCTGCTTGAAGGAATGGCTACGTGTGCGTGTTTCTCTACAGCTCTCAGCTCCTGTACAACAATTAACAAAGAGCATATTAGCAGTATCACCAGAATACTGATCATTCCCTGCCTAGAATGATGTTGTACCATCCTTACACTTACTTCTTCTGTACAAAGCTTGAATAAACACATGATGCTTTTATGTTCCCCCTCCTCGAATTTGTGCACTGATAGACCTATATGAAAAGGAGAGTGAAGTTCCACCTCAAGCCCTACATATGCCAATCCAGAAGAAGTTGTCCTGCTCATCTCAGCAACTGCAGGAGCAGTGGATTCCAGGTGACCATGATCTAGACAGCACAGGTTTTCACAGACCATAACCCACCATAAGAACTGCCCTGCAGACACGACCAACCTTTAGTGTATCACACAGAGAGTGTCTCCAGCTGCTCCCCATCAGCTCAACTATCAGAGCTGCCCTCAGACCCCAGCTCACCAACACCTCACATTTCAACAACTCTCTCAGCCATGGATAACTTTTGAGGCCTGGCAGAGGGCAGAAACAGTTCCAGTTTTCTGGCTAAATGCACAGGCCAACACAACCAGGGTTTGTGATTAGCCCAATTTTTCAAAACACTGCAGCCATTTGGAATCACTCTGCGTTGAAATAAAACTATTATTGATATCAAAGAAAGGGTTACATCCTTCTGTTGTAGACAGACTGGAACATCTAGGTGGACAGCATCAAGTCAGTAATAAAATGCAAAGTAGTGGCATTTAGGTTTCATTTAAGCTTTTTGAGGTCTTTTCTGGGGCGGGAAGAACATTTCTTCCACATATGATTACTTTAGGGCTTACTTTTAGGTTACTTTAGTTAGGGCTTACTTTTAAATCTAATATCCATATAGTTAATTATCACTTCATACATGTGTTACAGTAGCACCTTGATTATTGTGTTGATTATTGTACAACTTTAAACACAAGACATAGTCCCTACTTCATACTGTCTGTAAGGAAATGGTGAACATGGTTTAGATCCTAAAAAATAAAACCAGAGAAAATCGGTTATCTGCTCGTGAATGACAAATTCTTTAGTGCCTTCATTCTAGTCTGAAGCCCTTTTGTCTTTTTAAAGCATACCATGTAGTTTCCAAATTTAGAGCAATTACCCCCTGCTTCCTATCCTCTTAGTATCATGTTGCAAAATAAACAGTACCGTATTAATTGGAACCCGATAGATATTTTTTTTTTTCAAATGGTAATGCAGTAGCTTTTTTCTTTAAGTGTCATAAAACCCTCTCAAAGATGCAACTCAGCATCAACAAAATTAGGGAATTCACTACATACATTAAATAGGAGTAGGGTGAGTCATTGCCTTCTTCAGTTCAATGTTAATTGGGCTCGTAGCGGGGGGTCTTTAAGCAACACCGTCTGCACTCTGTGCCCTCCTCACATCTGCCAAGATTCACAGTAAGAAAAGCAACAACAGTGGTGGGAAGAATAACCAAGCAACAGTCGTACTGCAGATTGTTCTCTGTAAAAATTCACAGGGTTTGTAGGATTGTCCCATGCCAACGTGGTCCGTATGTGACACACACACATATACATACGAGTGAGCCATGTCAGTTTTCATCCGCTGGAAGCTTATACCTGTAGCAGTCGGTGCTTTGTTCAACAAGGCTTGGGGACTGCTAATGTGAGATTAAGTTCCTCTTTCTTCATTCAGCAATTAACCAGATTGCTGCTGTGTCTGTGTTTGATTTCATTTTACAATCCTCAGAGGGTTTAAAGAGCTGCTGTCCGAAGCACCTGCTTCTGAAATACTCCCAAGTATTTTTTGCTTTCCTTTTGTTAGACTTCCATTCTCTTTTGCAGTTTCACAGTTCTCCATCCTCCTGGTTTTCTTACATTTTCCTTCAGAGGCAAAAGTTACAGTGATCCTGACGCAGTTTGGGCACAGCCACAAATAGTCTGTTTGTCCTTCCTCTCTGTGTCTCGTAGTTAGAAAAGCGTCACTGTGCACACAGTTCTGTTGATTTCAGTGGATGAATCCAGTTCATCCATCATGTCAGGCAGTCAAAAAACCCAACAAAAAATTCAAACAAAAAAAAAAATGTCTAAATCCCAAACAGGCATCTTTGGAATCAGTAGTGCAAAATGTTTGCGGATTTTCTCTTCCTTGACCTACTGCGATAATCTCTTAATCTTCAAGTCTTTCCTAAAATAGTGGATCTGTAAATTTAAAACATAAGAACAATGAAAAAAAACCCCAGATATAACGATGGGTTGTTTGGGTTTGTTTTTTAATAGCTCTCTTCAGATTCTCACTTACACCAAACCCTTATGCATCTCTCATAAGAGATGTGAACTGCTGGAAGATCCAGTTACCGTAGGACAGGCCTCTTTTGCATGGGTACAGCACTGTGTAAATGCACAAGTGGATAAATAGTGGATAATTTGAGATTACAATTAGCTTTTATCAGTGCAGCCTCAGCTCTGTAGACTAGGTTTACGTGGAAAAAGACCTCCATTAGAGGTCACATCTCAAATGCCAGCACTTTGCAAACTTTGACTATGAGTGCAGCGTTTTGGTGGTTCTTCAGAAATTAGCTGATAAAACGAGTGATTACCTTAAGGATTTCCACCTGTCTTTTTCTGTCTGGTTTTCTGGACTTTCACTTTCATAGGAAGCCAGATACAAACCTGGAAAAAGTAAATATGTGTTATTCCAAAAGCAACTCTAACTCCCTATCTCTCTGCATTCTTATATGTCCTATATTGTACCAGGTAATCAGTAGGACACTGATATTTAGCTCACATGTCACACCTTTGAAAAGCTGTTAGGTTAATTCTGATGGAACAGTAAAGGAGCCCAGAGTTAAAATACGTTAGCAAGACCTTCTTATATAATATTAAGAAATTAAATGGTCTCTGGTTTTGCAGATAGAGATCTAGAAGATGGAGAAAGCTGGGAAGAGGGGGGGTCTCTGCAAAGGGCATCCCAAGAAAGCGGGATGAATACAGGGGAGAAAATCTGCAAACAATTAGTGGGACTATTTTTGGTCCAGCAGCCTGAAAACCACACTTTACCTGACTCACTTTCTGTCCCTTTAGAGCCTAAAAACAGAACAAATGCCTCCATCCTATCTCATTTTGATATGTATTATTTTAGTCACATTAATTATTCTATTTTGGCAGTCATTTTTCTCATGATTTAAGCAGCATTTTTTGAAGCAGTATTTTGTGTTCCAAAGTAGTCTGTGAAATAAGAACCTGTCGAGTCTGATTAACTTGGATTAGTACAGAAAAATGCCTATAGAATCAAGGAAAAAAATAAACCCAACACCAGTATAGCTTATGGGAATATAACTACAGACAATTCTGTGCGTGACAACGTACCGAGAGGCAACTGACACAAAAGCAATATGAAATGACACAGTCTGACATGCTGGATACCAAACTGCAGAGGACAGATAAGTATAAAAAAAGAATCAGAGAAATAATTTCAGAACAGGGCTTTCATAGTTACAGCTTAAATTAATTACTAGCAAAAGATTTTCTTAAAATATTCTTTTCCCTAGATAACCTATTTCTTTGCTGCAGTGGAAAAGGTCAGCGGGACCACCGTTGCCCTGGGCTGTGTTCACTGAAGAGATGACAGCACTGGTTTGCAGAAGTGATGAGTTCTGGCTCCATCAATCACAGAAGGAGTGTCCAAGAGACAGCTGACATTCACAGCAGTCCATGGCACGGTTGTGTGGCCTCTTTTTGTGATTACAAAAATAGGGCCAACAACAGCAACTTCTGAGACAGTGCCTTACAGAGAAGTTACAGACAAGAGAAAAGCAATCGGGCAGCAGCTTTGTGAGCTGGAAGGTTGTATTTGCAAAACCACATTGTAGAGTGGGGGAATACAACCCGTGTGACAGGAAAGCTTGGAAAGAACCAGGACTGGTCAGTGAGAGGCATCATCAAAGCACGGATCAGGTTGTTAATTAGTAGTGATGAAGAGACATATTTTCAGCAATTAGAGACTGTACAAAGTCTTACCATCTTCAGTAAAAATGGGAGCGGTATGTAAGTAGTGGATGATGTTTGGGTCTTGTTCAAAGGGACACTCCACTTGCTTCCATGTTATAAATTCTCCTACTTGCTTAGCCAGTTCCAGAAATTTCTGTAAACATAAAACATTCCACTCAGATACAGTAAGATTATCTCACAAAAACAACTACATCCAAGCAGAAGGCTGGGATCCAGATCCCTGGTGCCAACCACAAGGACATGAGGAGAAAAGACTCTTGTATGTTTTAGCTGGGTACATTTTCACAGTTCGTTTACAGGCCTTCTAACAGTTCTGATACAATTTAAGGCGATGCCAGGCTCAGCGTTTTACGCATCATTCACTATCTCACAATGCCAATACCAGAAGGAGAAATTTAAAGCAGCCGAAGAGATGCTGCAGAAATGACTTAACGCATCATTCACTATCTCACAATGCCAATAACAGAAGGAGAAATTTAAAGCAACCAAAGAGATGCTGCAGAAATGACTTACAAAGAATTTGAGAGCTCAAGGACTATTTTCTCCTTGACATGGGGCGTTTCTTTCGGAAGCACCTCCTCTGTGCCCCCCCAGCAGAATGCAGGGACCCAGCCACCCTGATGCCCAGCACAACCCCCGGGTGCCTGCACTCTGCCGCCGGCAAGAGCTGTACCGTTGTAAAACCTTCTGCTCCAGCAGAGAACTGGCCTTACTCAGGGTATCTGACTAACTCTACCTACAGCCAGCGTCGGGGCAGAATATAAAATCCTTCTACTGCATTTAATAGCAATTCTTCTGTGTAAAACCTACGGACTGGAGATAACACCTTCAAATCCTTACATCAACAGCATGACACAGCGGACACAGTGACTCTGTATTCAATATGTAATAGTAAAACCTACGGACTGGAGATAACACCTTCGAATCCTTACATCAACAGCAGGACATTTACCTCATGGACACAGTGACTCTGTACTCGATATGTAATTTTCCTTGTATTCTAATTTTTCTTTAATGACCACATGTAATTTACTTTGACAAACCTCCTTATTAAAAATGAGAAAGGGCTAAAAAAGCAGCTAAAGTATAAACCATTTTATACTGATTTGTGTGTATGTAAGAAAAATATTTTCCCATGTTTTCTGAAAAAGTCATAAAGTACAATCATTTGTAGTCCATTTTTGTACTCCAAGCCAGAAGTACAGTAATTTTTACTGCTGACACTGTATTTCTAGCAGCCAACTCTCATCAAGCAAGGTAGGATGATCTGCTTGTAATGTTTACATAAAATATACATATTAGTTCTTTTAAGAAACATTCTGGGATTGGTTTAACCTTCACAAAGTCTCTTGAGATCATCCATTTTGGCATGTTCAGTCTTTGCTGGCCTGCACCGAAATTGCAGACAAACAGTTTCAGATGGTGCTATCGAATGGGATAGATAAAAACATTTTTCACTTCTTACTTCAAAGTTGACATGTCCATTTGGAAGGCGATTAGCACATCCTTCGTTCAAAAAATAAATGTCTTTGATCAGTAGGCTGAAGAAGGGGATCACAATCTGTGAAGAGAAATGACACAACTATTATCTTTCCAGTTCAGTATTTTTTCTGCATGAAAGAAGAACTCAATCAGGAGAGAGGAGAAAAAAAGAAATATTAACTTTTCAGTGTGCTCTGTGCTTAGAATGCAGCACAGTGACAGGCAAGGAAAAGGGCAGTGGGGTGTAGAGACACCTTCAGCCATCAGGAGAACAGATGCTGAAATTAATATGAACTGAACACGATGTTCACTGAGCAGAATAACATGACTAAGAAAATGTTAATAACCCAGTTTATTATCAAGAGCATCACTGTCTGATGACAAGATCAGACAGCAAAGAGCAAAATAAAATTGCAGAACTCTTCCTTCCTCTGTTGGGTCTTTATAAGCAAAGATGCTGAATACACCAATCGAGCAATTTAAAGACAGCTGGAAACCAAAGAACCAGTATCCTCCCTGAACAAGACAGAATCACATCTGATGACCAAGGACTTTGTCTACAAACAGTGAATCAGGAGCTGTTTCATTTTCAGAGCCTACCCACCTCTTCAGCAGAAAGAAAACAAAACACTTGGAGGGTTTGAGCTATAAGGGCAACAGCCACCTCTGTGAGCATTTTCCTGCCTTTCAAGCCATTATGTATAAACTTAATCACCATGAACTTGAAGGAAAGCGCGTCGCATGGTAGAGTGTCCAAATGTTTCCACTGGCCTATTTGTAAATGAACTGAACTGCAGCTTGTTAAACACACAGCAAAGCTGAAGTGCCTCCTGGCAGGCAAGACCAGCCCAGGGAGCTGGTGACAAGGCAATCCTTTAGTGCAGTATTTAATGTCGCGCTGTTATTCCATCTCAGGCTGCACATCAGCTGTAGCAGGATATGAAATGGACCTAGAACAGGACGGCAGCTGTTGTTTTCCAGTCTTCCCGATGCAACAGCAAGTGCCACAAGGCACAGCCGGGGAAACACTGAGACAAGGAGTCTCCAAGCCACCACCGACTCTCGCCGCGAAAATGGAAGCCAGTTTCTGTTTCAGCTAAAATACCACATGCAGAAAACTGCTAAAGATCTGCATCTCTGCCAGCTTTTATGTGGGACAGCCATAGATAAAACTCTGTCATGTCAGCGTGATAGCCATAAAAAAGCCTGGACTAACACTTGAAGAGCTGCTGGCGTTAACCTGATACATCCCACTGATATAATATAGCAATGAAATAAAGCACAGCCCAACTCCCCAAATCCTGACTCCCATCAGAGTGAGGTGGAGTGAATTCTAGTCAACCTGAGCTACGTGTGTTTCAGGATTCATTTTTATATCATCCAACTAGATCAATCAACCTAAGGTAACGAATACATTCAATCTATGTGGTTTGTGTTCTCCTCAAAATGATGATAACTGTAACCAGTGTGGTCTTGTAAGGTGGTAAGATACAGAGCTGGAGGCAGACGCTGATCCCCAGCTAGAAATTCCTGCCAGGTTCTGTCTCTGTATCCTCTGCAGGCAGATGCCAGCTCGTTCTGCCCTGCTCCACGCTGCCCGGGAGCCCGGTCCCCATCATTAGCCGTACTAAACAAACAAAAAGCCTTGCTGGGAGGGAGGGTATATATGAACGTGGGCTCAATGCCATGATAATACAGCTACAAAGCCACCAGGCAGCTCGGAGCACGGGCAGAGCTTGTTCTCATCTGCATCCAAAAGGCGCCAGAGACATACCCTCAGATACCAATTCTCTACACGTTTCCAGGGTTTTTCTGTCTTGTAAAACCTTCTGCTCCAGCAGAGAACTGGCCTTACTCAGGGTATCTGACTAACTCTACCTACAGCCAGCGTCGGGGCAGAATATAAAATCCTTCTACTGCATTTAATAGCAATTCTTCTGTGTAAAACCTACGGACTGGAGATAACACCTTCGAATCCTTACATCAACAGCAGGACATTTACCTCATGGACACAGTGACTCTGTACTCGATATGTAATTTTCCTTGTATTCTAATTTTTCTTTAATGACCACATGTAATTTACTTTGACAAACCTCCTTATTAAAAATGAGAAAGGGCTAAAAAAGCAGCTAAAGTATAAACCATTTTATACTGATTTGTGTGTATGTAAGAAAAATATTTTCCCATGTTTTCTGAAAAAGTCATAAAGTACAATCATTTGTAGTCCATTTTTGTACTCCAAGCCAGAAGTACAGTAATTTTTACTGCTGACACTGTATTTCTAGCAGCCAACTCTCATCAAGCAAGGTAGGATGATCTGCTTGTAATGTTTACATAAAATATACATATTAGTTCTTTTAAGAAACATTCTGGGATTGGTTTAACCTTCACAAAGTCTCTTGAGATCATCCATTTTGGCATGTTCAGTCTTTGCTGGCCTGCACCGAAATTGCAGACAAACAGTTTCAGATGGTGCTATCGAATGGGATAGATAAAAACATTTTTCACTTCTTACTTCAAAGTTGACATGTCCATTTGGAAGGCGATTAGCACATCCTTCGTTCAAAAAATAAATGTCTTTGATCAGTAGGCTGAAGAAGGGGATCACAATCTGTGAAGAGAAATGACACAACTATTATCTTTCCAGTTCAGTATTTTTTCTGCATGAAAGAAGAACTCAATCAGGAGAGAGGAGAAAAAAAGAAATATTAACTTTTCAGTGTGCTCTGTGCTTAGAATGCAGCACAGTGACAGGCAAGGAAAAGGGCAGTGGGGTGTAGAGACACCTTCAGCCATCAGGAGAACAGATGCTGAAATTAATATGAACTGAACACGATGTTCACTGAGCAGAATAACATGACTAAGAAAATGTTAATAACCCAGTTTATTATCAAGAGCATCACTGTCTGATGACAAGATCAGACAGCAAAGAGCAAAATAAAATTGCAGAACTCTTCCTTCCTCTGTTGGGTCTTTATAAGCAAAGATGCTGAATACACCAATCGAGCAATTTAAAGACAGCTGGAAACCAAAGAACCAGTATCCTCCCTGAACAAGACAGAATCACATCTGATGACCAAGGACTTTGTCTACAAACAGTGAATCAGGAGCTGTTTCATTTTCAGAGCCTACCCACCTCTTCAGCAGAAAGAAAACAAAACACTTGGAGGGTTTGAGCTATAAGGGCAACAGCCACCTCTGTGAGCATTTTCCTGCCTTTCAAGCCATTATGTATAAACTTAATCACCATGAACTTGAAGGAAAGCGCGTCGCATGGTAGAGTGTCCAAATGTTTCCACTGGCCTATTTGTAAATGAACTGAACTGCAGCTTGTTAAACACACAGCAAAGCTGAAGTGCCTCCTGGCAGGCAAGACCAGCCCAGGGAGCTGGTGACAAGGCAATCCTTTAGTGCAGTATTTAATGTCGCGCTGTTATTCCATCTCAGGCTGCACATCAGCTGTAGCAGGATATGAAATGGACCTAGAACAGGACGGCAGCTGTTGTTTTCCAGTCTTCCCGATGCAACAGCAAGTGCCACAAGGCACAGACGGGGAAACACTGAGACAAGGAGTCTCCAAGCCACCACCGACTCTCGCCGCGAAAATGGAAGCCAGTTTCTGTTTCAGCTAAAATACCACATGCAGAAAACTGCTAAAGATCTGCATCTCTGCCAGCTTTTATGTGGGACAGCCATAGATAAAACTCTGTCATGTCAGCGTGATAGCCATAAAAAAGCCTGGACTAACACTTGAAGAGCTGCTGGCGTTAACCTGATACATCCCACTGATATAATATAGCAATGAAATAAAGCACAGCCCAACTCCCCAAATCCTGACTCCCATCAGAGTGAGGTGGAGTGAATTCTAGTCAACCTGAGCTACGTGTGTTTCAGGATTCATTTTTATATCATCCAACTAGATCAATCAACCTAAGGTAACGAATACATTCAATCTATGTGGTTTGTGTTCTCCTCAAAATGATGATAACTGTAACCAGTGTGGTCTTGTAAGGTGGTAAGATACAGAGCTGGAGGCAGACGCTGATCCCCAGCTAGAAATTCCTGCCAGGTTCTGTCTCTGTATCCTCTGCAGGCAGATGCCAGCTCGTTCTGCCCTGCTCCACGCTGCCCGGGAGCCCGGTCCCCATCATTAGCCGTACTAAACAAACAAAAAGCCTTGCTGGGAGGGAGGGTATATATGAACGTGGGCTCAATGCCATGATAATACAGCTACAAAGCCACCAGGCAGCTCGGAGCACGGGCAGAGCTTGTTCTCATCTGCATCCAAAAGGCGCCAGAGACATACCCTCAGATACCAATTCTCTACACGTTTCCAGGGTTTTTCTGTCTTTGGGTCACCATTAACTTCCCCCAATAAAAATACGTCACCCTGTATGTTTTGTTTTTCCAAATTGCTGTAGGAAAAGCAACAGCAGTGGATATAGTTACACTCTCTAACGTTGGCTTCCATCCAGGCACTTCACTAGCGTAAAATCTGGGTTAGTGCCAGAAATTTGTATTTCGTTCCCTTCTGATTTCCC